AGAGACGTCGGCGGACTTCAAATCTTGGCGCTTCTTACACTGGACTCTTTTTTTTTTTTACAAAAACGTTGTTTTACCGGCTGAGGCTGAATATTCTTATTTTTCTGCCGAGTTTAGGCTGGAAATATTCTTGTGAATATTCTTCGATTATAGAGTATGACAGTGTATAGTATACTTACGGCGGTTAAAGCAATTTGAAATTGTTTCCTCAATGCTTTGACATGCTTGTAACTAATGTAATTTTGAATTGACAATGCATTGTGAAGGTGAATAAGCCTCAAAGCCACAAGCTCTTTGTTGATGTTTAACTCCTACAATGCGCGAATTGTTTTAAAAAAATTCTAATCACCTAAATATTTATATATTACCATCAATTTTCCATTCGTCGAAAGAGATATTTCAACGGCAAAGAGGAATGTCGGTATACGTAAATGACAAATTTTGAAACGCAAATGATAATAAGTTGCATTAATATAATGATGTCCTCAACGATATTCAAAATGGAATGAGCGCTTTAATTTCCAGTCGCAGCATTCAAAATTGCTACCTTGTTACGATTAACACTGCGTGCTAACCAACTCCCTTAATTATAACAGAAGAGGCACCAACCTTTGTAGAAGCGAAAACCCAATGTTTCTAGTGTTCAGAGTAAAAGCGACCAGAGGGAATGAAGACCCTCTCCAGGCGTATTAACTGAAGGTAGTTCTGCTTTATCTTATTGCATTAACTATAAATGCTTTAGACCTCTAATAACAGTAAGATCTTATCACGTGTACGTCGTGTTATGTACTTGATTGGATTTCCTCTTGAATTCCACAATTACCATCTGAAATATATACTACAACAGTTTGAGCGAAGAAAAAGCTCCCAGCAATGTTCGATGGCGGAAGACAAAAAAGATAACACCGGACACATAATTTGTTCATTATTTGCTCACAAATAAAAGATATCTTTTTTTGAGAGAGAGTAAAGACGGTTTATTTTTTCTGTGATGAGCAGTTTCTTCGAAACATTTTTTTGGAATAAAAAAAAAAAAGAAAGAAAAAAAAAGAAAAACTGCCACCAAAGAAAACGACGTTTCGATCTCTCTGAGATCATTTTCAAGATTAAAAAGTAATTAAAGTCGATTAGAGTTTTTTTCACTTACGTTTCGCAGTGTTTAGTGCACATTTACATATTTTTATCGCTTTTCAAATTCTCACATCGTAATTTTACTCCTATATCCAAAGTAAAAATATGAAATCCTTTTATTATTCGGGGAATAAAACATTGTCAGAGTAGCGAAAATGACGAATACCATCGTGTTTATGTAAACCCTAGGCTTCCGGTTTCTTGGCTGATAATCAACTACCTGCCCGGGAACCAGCTACGAAAATTATAAATAAGGGCCTACAGATGTTTTGTTCAGAAATCGTGCTTCCTCCATGAGTGGTTCGATAAACCAGAAAAGCTCGATTACCTAGGTCTACCGGAACACCCTAACGTCCTCAGTGGCCTCGCCCATGGCGACTGCGCGCTCGCAGTACTGAGCGGTAGTCAAAACCGAACTGTTAAAGTTGCCTTGACTCCTTCTAATACTTAATTTGAGAAATTCTGGGTTAAATTTGACGAAAAACAACATATTTTGTTCAAAGTTAATGGCACAACTATGTTCCCTCCTGGTGACACTCGACAAACTATGAGTGAGTGACCGGACGCGGGCGACCCATTTTTGGCGTCA